ATTTTTCCATTTCTTTGTGCCTTCCTCAATTTCTTTCATGAGTAGTCTATAGTTTTCTGAATACAGATCTTTTGCCTCTTTGGTTAGATTTATTCCTAGGTATCTTATGGTTTTGGATGCAGTTGTAAATGGAATCGACTCCTTAATTTCCCTTTCTTCTGTTTTGTTGTTGGTGTATAGGAATGCCACTGATTTCTGTGCATTGATTTTATAGCCTGCCACTTTACTGACTTCCTGTATAAATTCTAGCAGTTTTGGGGTGGAGTCTTTTGGGTTTTCCACATAAAGTATCATGTCATCTGCAAAGAGCGAGAGTTTGACTTCTTTTCTGATTCTGATGCCTTTTATTTCTTTTTGTTGTCTTATTGCTGAGGCTAGGACTTCTAATAGTATGTTGAATAGCAGTGGTGATAGTGGACATCCCTGCCGTGTTCATGACCTTAGGGGGAAAGATCTCAGTTTTTCCCCATTGAGGATGTTTGCTGTGGGTTTTTCATAGATGGCTTTTATGATACTGAGTTATGTACCCTCTATCCCTACACTCTGAAGAGTTTTAATCAAAAAAGGATGCTGTACTTTGTCACATGCTTTTTCTGCATCTATTGAGAGGATCATATAGTTCTTGTCCTTTCTTTTATTAATGTATTGTACTACATTGATTGATTTGCGGATGTTGAACCAACCTTGCAGCCCAGGAATAAATCCCACTTGGTCATGGTAAATAATCCTTTTAATGTACTATTGGGTCCTGTTGGCTAGTATTTTGGAGAGACTCTTGACATCCATGTTCATCAGGGATATTGGTCTGTAGTTCCGTTTTGATGGGGTCTTTGTCTGGTTTTGATATTAAGGTAATGCTGGTCTCATAAAATGAGTTTGGAAGTTTCCCTTCCATTTCTATTTTTTGGAACAGTTTCAGAGGAATAAGTATTAATTCTTCTTTAAATGTTTGGTAGAATTCCCCTGGGAAGCCATCTGGCCCTGGGCTCTTGTTTGTTGGGAGATTTTTGATGACTGCTTCAATTTCCTTACTGATTATGGGTCTGTTCAGGTTTTCTATTTCTTCCTGGTTCAATTTTGGTGGTTGATACATCTCTAGGAATGCACCCATTTCTTCCAGATTATCTAATTTGCTGGCATAGAGTTGCTCATAATATGTTCTTATAATTGTATTTTTTTGGTGTTAGTTATGATCTCTCCTCTTTCATTCATGATTTTATTTATTTGGGTCTTTTCTTTTTGATAAGTCTGGCCAGGGGTTTATCAGTCTTACTAATTCTGTCAAAGAAACAGCTCCTAGTTTCATTGATCTGTTCTACTGTTCTTTTGGTTTCTATTTCATTGATTTCTGCTCTGATCTTTATTATTTCTCTTCT